GCCATCTTGGGCGCCGTGGAGCGATCTTCGGGCGTCTCGGACCTCTCTTGGACCGTGTTGGGGGCGTTCTTGGGGCCCTCTTGGGCCGTCTTGGAGGCCTCTGGGGCCGTCTTGGAGCCGTCGGGCCGTCTTGGGGCCCTTTTGAGGGCCTCTTGGGCCCTCTTGGGGCGATCTTGGAGGCCTCTTGAGCCGTTTAGGGGCGTCGGGGAACCGAAAAGGTTGAAACGCCCAAATTTGTCCAAAACCAAAGAAAAAGCATTGATGTTTGCCTCTTGGGGCCCTCTTGGGAGTGTTCCTGGAGGCCTCTTGGGGCATCTTGGAGGCTTGTTGGGTCATCTTGGAGACCTCTCGGGCCGTCTAGAGGCCATCTTGGGCGCCGTGGAGCGATCTTCGGGCGTCTCGGACCTCTCTTGGGTTGTGTTGGGGGCCTCTTGGGGCCCTCTTGGGGCGATCATGGAGGATCTGGGGGAGTGTCCCGGGCTCCGCCCGGGGTACTTTTGATCCAGGGGCCCCCAGGGGCCGCCCCGCGCGCGCGAACCAGAAATATTGTTTACGAGTTACCGGAGATCTTAGCACGCCTCTGGCCCGTTGGGCCGGCGAATTTATGCAGTTTTCGTGTTCATCAACACGACTTTGCGTCGGGCCCGACATTTGCTTTGATGAATAGACGTGTTTCTTAACACGATCGTGTTTCTCAACACGACTTGATATCACATTAGTTTGCTTCTATGCAGTATATGTTGATGATAATTTTGCGTCGAGAACGATCTGATGCCCAGCTTTAGTTTGAAAACTGGTGGCAACACATGCCGCGTCTATGACGCTGCAGCTTCTGATGTTGCTTGCTATAGCTCAGATCCTCTCGCTCCGCACACCCGTGCCTCATTCTTCTCCGCCCTCGAGTGCCGAAGCGTTTTTGGGGGCCCACCGAGGGGGCACCAAAGCGTGCTTGGCGAAGAAACAGGGGCCCTGGGTGTTCTATATTTCCCTTACTTGCCTGATCACGCCAGCTGCTGTGCTATGCATATATTTTGCACACTGCTGTCGTGGCCGGGACGCAGCTGAAGCGATACCGATTTTACGCTCAGCTGCCTATCAAGGCTAAGGAGTAAAATGGGTGACAGGTTCTTTTCTCCTTTTCCCGAGTCCTACCCTCGCGGACGGGATTCGGGACGGGGGGTGCGAATAGAACCCGTATAATACCCGCATATCTACTCCTTATCCTCACTCTCCTGCCCCTGGCCGTTTGGGCGCAGGCATTGGAATGGCATCGATCTGACCTTGATCGTGCAAGAGGAAAACATATCCATCTTTCCCTCCTATCCTCTACCAACGGATCAGGGGTTCTGTACCTTTGTACTCCAACCCCATACACATCCCCTGGGCCCCCCCCCGCTCCGGGGGGCCTCCACGGGGGAGCGCAGGCTCCACCCCAGCGGTGAGCTCGGCTGGCTGCTTAAATTCAGGAGGAAAGAACACACAGACACAAGTCATCGTCGATTCCCCAGAAAATATAGGAGAATCTGGGAAGTGGGGGGGAAGGCAAAAACTAGAAAATATAGGAAAAATAAGGGGGGATGTCTTTATTTGTGTGTGTATGTACGTGTGCGTGTGTGTCCCAGAGCCCCTTCATACACTTCGGGCCTCCGGACGTCCCTGCGGCGTCCCCCGGCGGCCTCGCCGAAGTCCCCACAAGGGCTTCCAGGGCCACGCGGAGGCCCGAGAGGCTCTTGGTGCTCGATCTCTGGGTCGACAGGGGGGCACGAGAAGGAGCAGAAGGCCTTCGAGAGGAGGAGAGAACGCGGAGGAGGAGGACGAGGCGGGGAAACAAAAACACGGAGGAGGAGGAGGAGGAGCAGGAGGAGGAGGAGGAGGAGGGGGAGGAGGAGGAGGAAGAGGTGGAGGGGGAGGACGAGGACGAGGACGAGGAAGAGGAGGACGAGGAGGACGACGAGGACGAGGAGGAGGAGGAGCAGGAGGATGAGGAGGAGGAGGAGGAGGAGGAGGAGGAGGAGGAGAAGAAGAAGCCCTTGGAGCCCGCGGGATGCCCAGCGGGGCGCCAGGAGCTGCAGGAGGTCCAGCGCCAGCAGGACGCGCAGGAGCAACAGCTGCGTCGTCCTCCTCCCTTTCCCTCAGCCTCCTCTTGCTCCTCCTCCTCCTCCTCCTCCTCGTCCTCCTCCTCCTTCTCCTCCTCCTCTCCTCCTCCTCCTCCTCCTCCTCCTCCCCCCTCTTCCCTCCCTCCTCCCTCACTCCTCCCTCCTCATATCATACCTGTACGACCGCCCTTCGGGTGGTTGGGGATGCGGGGAAAGAACCAACTGCTAGCAAACGCGATGGGTGTGATGATGACGATGCTGGTGACGCGACGACGCGTGATGACGTTCTTGCGCTGCAATGTAATGTTACTGTCGTCCCCGCTTTCTTTTTCACAGTCACAATCAACCTCACTGTCGATATCACGTTTGATCTCACGGTCCATCCCATTGTAGCGATTTCCTTATCGATCTCACTATCGACTTCACTATCGACACCAAGGCGGGACACCCCCGGCCACCGCCCGCCCTCCGCCGACGGGACAATTACGGGACGCTAAAGGGGCACTACAGGACACCACGGCGGGACACCCCGGGCCACCGCGCGCCCACGGGTGCGGAAGGGCTGTCCATTGTATCAAAATCGCCCCATCGACGGCGGGGTCATTCCTCTCGCGCGCCTACGTAGCGTCGCTTCGTCAGCACACGAACGCGAAACCGGACCGATTTCCTGGTGGAGCGTTTTCTGCTCCACCGCGATCTCACCCCCCAACCTCCGATATTCCTCATCCCCTCTCCTCTCAAACCATTCACGCGTTTCAACCCACATTGGTTCGAGCTGGCTGCGAGCTCGTTTATTACATACTTTTGTCTTCAGATGGGTTTTTGAACTCGATATCACAATTCACGATCCAGTTGGTTACCTGCTTCGCAGCTGTTTCAAACGTCAATTACCCAATGTCGCAGAATCTGTTTCTCGGATGCATCATTCGTTATGGTATTCCCCCGAACGAAGACGCATTGACTTGTCAAGCCTGCTTGATTTCAAGATATGAGTTCCTCGTTTCACTGGTCTCGGCAAGTCAAGGGACTGGAAGAGTGTGAATGTGCGCGTCGCCGCGCCCCACTAACTAATATGCGCAGTTGTGTTGAGTCCTCCTCACTTGTCCCTTCAGTCCCTCAGTGCAGCAGTGGTGGTCAAAATTCCATAATTCCTTCGATCAACCAGTCACTCAATATATCAATAAAAAGGTATATGGGTGTCTGCGGTTTTGGTGACAGCGGATTGGATGGGTCAGGGTCGCCCTTTCCTGATTTGCTTCATTCAGAAACGTCAAAGTTACGCGAATTGGTTTCTTCGTTTGGGAAAAAAGTGGATCGGTACTTCGAGCAGCATGGGATCTCCGATGTGCCACAACACGAGGGCCACAAACACACATCGCGATGTATCAAACAGCACATGTGGTCTGAACGATTGCAAGGAATATGAGGATATGGTGTCTTTATTGTTGCTCTCAGTCTGCCCCAAGGGCAGGTCAGGCCAGTCATGTGTTTGAAGACTCGCTCGTGATTAGAAGGAACCACCACTGGAAGGGCTAGGGCTCAGACTTAACGCTCGGGGTATTACACCTGTTGGACACCATTTCAAGAAGAAATGCACTGGCAGGGTCACTGCTTCGTGCACGCATTGATTGTCCTAGAGAGGGACAGGTTCGCAACACATGTCTTTGATATCGTGGGCCAGTTGGAGGTTCCATCGCTCTGATGCTGAGGCGGATTGCTGTATCTTTCGTGAAGCTTGGGCAGCAGGAGAAAACGCCATATATTTAGTTGCCAGAATGCAAGTGCTCAGGGTCCCGCAGTCGGGACATCCTTGGGTGTGTGAGCCGTAGCGTGTTTTCGTAGCAACGACAGTCGGGCGGCCCCCATCTCCTGGGATTGCCCACTACCACCACCCCCTCACAATACCCAGGGAACGCTGAAAACTTCGAGGGCCCACTGCAAGCCTCCTGAGCAAACCAAAGCACGCCTCGATCTCCTCCTCCTCCAGACCACCGCCCCAGGGACTCCGCAGATCCGTTGGGTCCTCGTATAACCATGCCGAAAAGGTGTGGGCCCCCCCGACAGGTGTTCTTTCCCCCTCCCCTCTCATCGTCCTTCTCCTCCGCTTCGGGGGGGGGGGGGGGAAGAGTGATGCATGGACGCTTCGAGGGGGCGGCGGAGGGTTGGCTCGCGTTGGGGCGAGGGCATCCGGGATTAGCCCGCCTTCTCGCTGATGTGTGTCTGAGCTGTTTGCTTCGATAGTTCTAGCGGACGGGCTGCGAGGCGGCACGGAAAAGTGAGGCACGGAGGGAAGAGGGGGAAAGGGAGACCGAGAAAGGGGAAGAGGTGGACGCGGAGGAGGAAGAACAGGATATTGTATCCTAGATTCCCCGTTTGCTCCCGCGTTCTTCCTTATTATACATCGGGCTCTCTCCCGGGAGAGAAGGAGATCGGAATGGGGAGGCGGGGAAGGAGGAGGAGGCAGAAATGGCCTCCCCCTCCCCCTCCTGCCTCCCTCCTCCCTCCTCCCGCCTCCCTCCTCCCTCCTCCCCCATCCTCTTCCTCCTCCCTCCTCCTCCCCCTCACCGTCCACATCCTCCTCCTCCTCCTCCTCCTCGTCCTCGTCCTTCTCCTCCTCCTCCTCCTCCTCCTCCTCGTCCTCCTCCTCCTGCTCCTCCTCATCCTCATCCTCATCCTCATCCTCCTCATCCTTCTTCTCCTCCTCCTCCTCCTCCTCCTCCTCCTCCTCCTCCTCCTCCTCCTCTCCTCCTCCTCCTCCTCCTCCTCCCCCTTCTCCTCCCCCTCCCCTCCTCCTCCTCCTCCTCCGTCTTCTCCTCCTCCCCCTCCTCATTATCCTCCTCCTCCTCCTCCTCCTCCTCCTCCTCCGCCTCCTCCCCCTTCTTCCACCCCACCACTCTGGAGCAGGAGCAGCGGCTGCAGGCCCTCTATCAGCTCCAGCAGCAGTCCCAGCATCCGCCGCCGGCGCAGCAGGCGCAAATGCAGGCGCAGCAGGCGCAGCTGCAGGCGCAGCAGAGGCCACTGCAGTGGGCTTCGCCGCCGCCACCGCCGTGGCTGCCGCCGCCCGTCCGCCGCGTCACCGCCGTCGTCCCCCGCGTCACCTCCTCCTCTTCTTCCGCCTCCTCCTCCTTCTCCTCCTCTTGCCTCTTGCCTCTTGCCTACCTAAAGGACGGTGTCCACATGGCGGGGCCCCCATATGAAAGGTCGGAGGGGGCCCTCCAGAATTTGTCACTCACCGACTGGGTTGCGATCCACCCAGCCAGTGAGCCGCGACAGGGCCCCCTCCCAAAATCAGAAAAACGCAACCGGGGGCGGGAACTCCAGCTGAGGTTCTGGCTCAGGCCAGGCTTTGATATCCCTCGGGGGCCTCCTTGCCTCCAGCGCTCTGAGAACTCTTTCCCCATGCTCCGAGAGGTTCTCTAAGCAGGGCTCAGAGAACTTCATAAAGGTGGAAGCCGCGTAGCCCCCACAACCACGACACCAAAAGACGCCCCGAAACCTCTGGAGCCTCTGGTGGGACGGATGGATCGTCGCAGGGAGCCCAGGGCATTCCGAACGGAACCAGTCCCCCGCAGCCCCCGACGGGGCCGTGCGGCATTCACTTGAGGGCTTTGCTAGAGGAGCTGTCCGCTGTCCACCAAGCAGTGGGAAGTACTGGTGCACAGCGCCGAAAGGACATCAAGTTTGGCTAGTCTCCGACGCTTGCCTTTTCGTTTCCTGTTCTCCGCGCTACTGGCACCATAAATCTGGGCAGCAGTCATGGCAATGTGATGGGACACCGTCATTATGTGTTCCTGGACTCTTCTACTGAGAGTGTCAACTCGACGCACCTCGGCGATGGCCCACTCAGGGAGTTGGGCCTCTGTGGCTCCTTCCTCAGCTAGCTTGTCTGCAACAAAATGAGCCGCCCAAGATTCGAAACGGCTCAGTCGAACTAACACAGCATCGGAGGCGGACTCATGAGACTTAACTCTGACGGCTGTCACCCGACGCCCAGCACACTCCTGCCAGGTCAGGCCCCAGAAAGTGAGATCCTGGCAGTGGTGAAAGCGAGGTCCCGAATTAATCCCACAGACCACGGAACCATTATCCTCGACGAGAAGGAGGTCTCCCTCCGTCAGCTGGGCAATGCGATAACAGGCCCACAGCTCAGAAAAAGGGACAGTCTGCTTGCATGTGGAGAGCGGCCCCCTGGCCCACCTCAATATCTCCTCCCCGGGGAAAATGGGCGCCCCCCATCCACGACTTCAAAGCCAGGCAGGGGCGGAATAGGGGCCCCCAGACCCATCGCCGCCGACGTAAGCCCCAGGGGGGAGGTGCAGTTTTTCACCTTGAAGGGAGGGGGGCAGCTTCTCTACTCCCTGGATCTCCAAGTGCTGGATATTGAAGGTCCACACCAAGGGCGTGAGACCACGCAGCCAGAAGCATGGTTCATCCCGGCACCCTTCGCGCGCGTCGCCTTGGAGATCCCAATGCAAGCCCTCGCCATGCAGCTCGAAATTAGAGCGGCACTCCCAGATCAGGTGGAAAAGAGACTCTTCACACTCTTGGCACCTGGGACATAACTGGGAATTCCAAGCTTCTGGAATGGGCGAGACTGTGGAGCAAGGCCTGGTCGGCCCCCCTTTCCGAAAGCGCCTCCATCTTCTTCCGAGGAAGGACCCTCCCCCCCCGAAGGGCCCCCCTCAGAGTCGCCAAACGAGCGGGGGCCCGCGGGGGCCTCGGGTCGCCCCGGGAAGACGAGCAGGTGGCATCCGCAGCAGCAGAGGCACCAGCAGCAGCAGGGGAGCCATCAGGAGGGGAGGGGACGATGCGGATACCCCCGCGGCCTTCGCCGCCAAAGCGCCTCGCTGCTGGCCGCAGAGCCCCCGTGGCCACCGCGCGCAAAACTCTTGCTTTATCGTAATCTTTGCGACGTGCAAGGGAAAGGAGGCGCTGCTTCAAGACCTGAGAAATCTACACCGGCCTGGGCACCCTTACCACACGGATGGGAATTGACAGCACGAATCCAGCACTCATGATCCAAAGCCTGCTTGATCTCAAAGTTGAGCAGGTGCTCTCTATCCAGCATTAGAACGTGGAAGAATTTCGCCCCTGGGGGTCCTCCAGGAGGCGGGCCCCAGGGGGCCCCAGTGGAGGTACATGAGGCTGGCAACAACAGCTCCAATGAGGCCTTTGACTCGGGCCCAACGCCTAGCGGCAGCCTGCAGGCGCGTGACCGCCCTGCTCCAGACGACCTGAATGGCGCGCATTCGCTCAAGCATGCGGGCTAAAATCTCTAGCCATGATGTGAAAACCTGAAATATCCCATGAACCATGGGGTCGTCGTTTTCTTCGAAGCCTTGCCTCATGCAAGTGGTTGGGCAGCCTCCTGCCCCCCTGTAGCCTGTGAGGCCTGCAACCGAGCTCCGAAGTTTCAGAGGCGCGCCGGGGTTGAGGCCCCGCGCCATCTGCCCGCCGGCGATTACTTGTCTGCACCCAGTCTTGGCCACGACCCGCGCTTGGGAAACAACCCTGGCCAGTTTGGATATATGGACGGTTCGCCGCTGGCCTGGCCGCGCTGCCATCCACGCCCTAATCCCCGACTTGCTCGGCGCACATTAGCGGCGCTTCATCCGCGGCTAGGGCGCGTGAAACCTCTTTGGCAAGGCGGGGCGGATACGCGACTAGCGTTGACTTGCTGGAAACTTCGAAGCCAGTTTTGTTGAGCCTGGTGGCCGAGGCAATCGCCGCCGCCTTGGCGCGAGAAACAATGCCCGCCCCCCGACCAATCTCCGCCTGTCCGGGGTCGTCGACCCACGCGGAGGGGTCAAGAGGTTTAAAAGCTGCGTGCACGGACACTAAAACCTGCCAGAGGGAAAGCTTAGCTAGGCCCACACTCTGGTTGCAGCCAGCAATGGGGGACCTATCTGGGCAGATTAGTTTGGAGAACTCCTTCTGCCCCGAGCCTCCTCGGGCTTCGGCGGATGGCCAAACCGAGCGCCGGCACTGGACGGGGATAGCCGACCCGCCAGGCCACACTGGCCACTTGGAAAAGCCGAACATGGTCTTAGAACGTATCCGCACCCCAAAGAATCTCAGCCCCTGAGAATCCCCGGGCCGTTGCCATCTCTAGCTTACATTGTCTTATGAGTGCTGCGCGGAGCGATGAGGTTCCTCCCACCTCCGAGCCCTCCCCCGCGCCCGACACAGCCCTCGCGCCAGGGTGATGGGCAGATCGGCCACCGGACCTCTGCGAATTAACTGGACGAGGTTGAGTAAGACTTGAGGGGGCCAGGCCCCCGCAGACCCTATCATCGCGAGAACCTCGAGAAGGTCCCCCGACCTCCCCCGGGAAGCCCCCGCCACCAGTTCGGGTTCTGGTGACCAGCCCCGACCCCAACAACTCCTTCAAAAGATTTGGGGGGCCTCACAAAGAAAGCTGTTCCACGGCGAGGTCCTCGATGGGGCTCTCTGCTGGCCTCCGGAGAAAACTCCCCCCGCCAGCCTTCGGGCCCCTGAAAATCCTTCGAGCACCACAGGGTTTCCTAGAAGTTGGCCTTCTGATCTACGGCCTCAATGGGGCCCCGCATGGCGCAACCATCAGGGCGCTTCTCGGGGGCAAGATCGGGCGCATCTTCGCCCCGCGTCTTGGTCCAGGCGCGCAGCGCACCTGCACCTTCGGAGAGCGACTGTCGGATTCAGCCCTTGAAACTGTTATGGCTGGTGCGCGCAAGATGGAGCTCAATGTTTTGGGCCGTCCTACCGAGGTGTTTGAGCTCCTTCTTGCAGCGTTCTACATTTCTGAAAATGGCAATGTCACTGATGCTGCGCAAGGTGCGCTCCTCCCTCTGGTGAGGCAGGAGACGTGGCGAGGACCTGGCAGCGTTGAGACAGCCATCTACGATTCGCCAAGCCTGCTCCTGCTCAATCTGCACTGGGTCCTTCAGCTTCTCGCGAAGGCGCAGCCAGCCTGCCACGCGTGCACGGAGGCTCGCCCACGCACTGAGCCCGCGATACTCTCCCTGCCAGCCTCTCGCCATCGCGGGGGCGATGGGGGCCTCAATGGTCTGGACTGCCCATCCTCGATGCCGTTCGCCACCGTCGAAGTCGATCTCGGTTCTGCGATGAGTGCCAAGGCCCTCCGCCGCCAAAGCAAAGGCCATGTGCTGCTGAGCTTGGTCGAGCCTTGGATTGCCGCTGCAATGCCGATGCCCAGCCTCATCTTCGACAGTTCACTGGATCTTGGCCAGTCCTTCGGCGCCCTTCTGCTCAACTCGCATGGAATGCCACTCCCAAGGTAGGTCGGGTTCCAGGTATGCCCCTGTCGATCTCGGGGCATGGCGCAATGGCTCTCTTGGGCACATTGAATTCACCAATCCTGAGTCTAACCCGCATGCCCGAGCGCGGCGCTGCCCATTGCCTTTATTGCTCCCACGATAGCTCGACAAGGTCATGCAGGTCATGAGTATTGAGACACCAATCAATGAGCCGATGCCCTCCTGGAACTGCCTCCGCCGGGTTTCCCCAACCTGCACGCAGAAAGACTTGGAGCCCACACTGCTGCATCTCTGGAATGGTATTGCCCCAGTCTCCGACCATCACGAATGGGCAACCTTGGACCTTGAGAGTTGCCAGCTTCCTCCAGGGCTTGAAAATTGGATCCTGATATACCCAGGTGCGGCGCCAAAAATACAGCAACAAAAATGGCATGGACCTTCCGCATACGCACCGTAGCGGCACACAATTGGTTGACCTGATTAGGACCTCGCTGAAAGGGGCCAAGGAGAGGCGGTCCTCCATGGTCAGAGGGTCTTGCCATAGATGCATGCGGGTCAGGATGGCCATGCCCCCGCGCCCTTGCACCCCCCCCCCTCTGTCGTGCCCACAGCAGGTGCCGCAGCGAATTTCCAGTCAAGCTCTGCCATTCCCTTGGAAGTCTGCACGAGCTTTGTCGCACGGGGGTGGGCCCCAACGAACATGACAACCTTGGCTCGCTCCAACTGCCCAGCAGGCTTGTTGAAGTAGTCGAAGGCCT